ACAGAGCACACTGGCTGGCAACAGCACATAGAAGATGAGAGGAGTATTGGTCTTCAGAAGTACCTTTTTATTTTAGTGTTAAGTGCATGATCAAAATCAAGGGCTTTGTTTTGTCAAAGAGGTCATAGTTAAGCCTCACATGCTTTGAGGTTGCATCTATGCCAGGCTACCCTACTGCATTAATGTCAAGCCATAACTCAATTAGGACTTTAAACATACCTTCATTTTATACACATGCTTTTTATCCAGGGCAAGCTTAACACAAGCCCTCCAGCAGAAGGGGTTGTAAAGCAGCACAAATATCAAAACATCCCCCGACACTTAACCTGAGCTCTGCCCTGCCCATGTGCCTCTTTCAGAGGGTTAGAGTGAAAGATCAGCTACAGACAATTACAATTATGCCAGCTAGAAACAATTTCAGATGTGTCAGGGATAAGCACACTTGTTGCCTGTACAGATTGGAGAACACTGATCACCTCTAAGCCTGGCTGACCTGGAAGCTAGAAGGCCTCAGAAGCACGGCAAGGTAGGTCAATTCACACACCTACTGAAAGAGAAGAAACATTTAATCAGATGTTTTGGTTTAATGCAAGTTTTGAAATAGTTCTGGATAGCTGAAAGAATGAAATCGGAGACACCAAGCCTGGCTCCATATTAAAGGCTGCAAAGGATTCAGTTCCAGAACACACACTGAGGGCAAAAAACACAACACATTATCACCAAACAAGCCTATGTGTGCATTTGCAGAATGATTTCTGAGGAAGTTCTGAGGACAGACTTTAGATCAAACGCTTAGGAGAAGTGATACCCAATAATGTTACAGGTTCAAGAACTTGGTTATAACTGCACATGCAATCAAGAAAACATTTGAAGTAATTAGTTCTTTTTTGGCAGCAGTGGTTGGTATGAGCCGGCACTTTAAATGACACAAGTTTTCTCATCATGTTATTGAATTTGAGTAGACAGACAGTAACACTTCATTCTGCAGAGGTAGCAGTATTCAAATCCAACTGCAAGAACAGACCCAGTTTAAGTCATCCATGAACCTCCCCATAAAGAACATACCATAGGTTCAATACAGATGCATTATTTTCAGCTACTATAAAATGGCAGAAGATAAAGTGATTTACTAGATCTCCCAATGAATTGCTCATTTTTAATCACAACTGTTCAGGCACCGATGATAGATCAATACTAGAAAAATTGAAAGGTTAAAAACAGTGTACAGTTTAGCACAGAAGGCAACACTTGAACAGAAGCACATAATTTTAATCTGCTTTGAGTTGTAAAGCAATCTGAACAAAAAAAAAGTTAACCATATAAATACAGAGTAAATGCACATAGTTTACAGCCAACTACACGTATGCAAGAATAATACCAAACCTCACATGAGCCTTGAAGTATTCCGAAACTCTCATTTGTGAGAGTTCAGCTATGACTCTGAGGGCACAGTTATGTTCACATATGCAGGGTAGGCAGACTCTTATATTGAGGAGCTGAAAACTTACATGACTGAATCTTAACAGACAAGGTTGGAAGAAGTAATACATTTACCTAGGCACACTTCAGCCTTCAGCTCTGTTTCCAAACTTAAACAGCTTAAACAGGAACCAACATTTATAAAGGCTCTCCAATCTTTTGTCTCTGGAAGCATCCTTTAAAAATGCTACGGTCTGAGGAATGTTACAAACATCATTATGAGAACAAAAACAGTATAGCAGAAACTGTCCTTAACAAACACTGCAATCAGAAAGGAAATACACGGAGTGCATTATGTAAACAGGGAACGAGATAGGTGCAATTTCAGTATATGAGTACACAGCTTGACATTTCAGTTACAATTAGAATAACCAAAAAACTCCCTAAATTTCAAGTGTAAAACAACATAGGCTAGCAGACCAGAAATTCAGACATAAACAGCAGACCTGTTAGTCAGTTTAAAGGCTGGGCTCAGCCTCTGCAACACAGTTCGTTTTCACACAGCTCTACAGGGACCAAATGCATAACATTAGGGCTGAGAAATGTGACTGCATTCACTGAAAGCTTTTCTTCTGATGGCTTTGGAGACTCGGGCCACCTCGCCGTGTCCCCCCAGTGTGGTACTGACAAGCGGGGACAACCAGTCCGCTGTCACCAGGCCGAGGCAGATAAACCATGCTCCAGTGCCATCTTCTGGCTGATAAGGGAAACTGCAACCGCAGCGGTGGTGCAGGGTCAAAATTAACAGCTTGCATGAACATTTACGGTTCATCTGGGCAAGGGAAACATGAGCAAACTAATTAATTAATGAGTTTTTCCATAAATGCAAGACCTCTGCCTCTAGCACAGAAAAGTGTGATATAAACACACTACATTCAAATATGAAATCAAGATGGCCATCTAAGTTACAAGAAAGTTTAAATGCACTCCTGTAGTTAAAAGGTTAGGTAACATCTTTATCTCTTCGAGTTTTTAATATAAAGAAAAATGCATAAATAATTAATATCTTTGGGAAATATTTCACCGGTAACTCTGCATGTACTGGTAGTTTAAAATTAAGAAACATCCTGTGAATCTTTATTATGTAAAGCAAGCCTAAAAGATAACTCCTGAAGTTTACAACTGCTTAAACACCCATTACAAAGGCAGAAGCAGCAGCTGATTGTCTATTTTTAGCTGTTGTCTCCCATATTTAATTGTCCTTGTTAATATATTCTACTTATCAACTCCAGAGGGTCTTTCTCACCCAGACAAGGCACACACACAGTACCCAGTGAATAAATGGGAGACAAACAAGTAACCAAGGGACAATGTATCCAATAAAACAGGAGAGTAGCTCCATGAAGCTTAAGCTAATCCAAGTGTTAATTGTATTCATGAACTCCAAAATTGTCTTTGTCAATTTAAATTTTGGCTATGACTGAATAATCTGGAGAGCCTGAAGAGTAATCCACTTTCTACAAAACAAGAACTACAATAAGTAACTAATCCTGCCCTTAGTTATCTTAACAATGGCATCACAGCAAGACTTAAGTCAGTCATGAATACTCCAGACTTTTCCTAGAGAGATAACTAGAAAAAGCCCACTTGAGAACATATTTAAGCATTCCCCTCACTTTAAAACACTTTAATTCATCTTTGGTCACATCACAGACCACGCTACCTGCTCTAAAAAACATTAGGTAACCGTTTTTAAGGAGAAGGAAGTCGATACAGCTAAGCCTCCACTGCAATACTTTAGGTGGCTTTTAGAAGGAAGAGCAATTGGTACAGAGAATTACATTAAATACTTTGACACTGTGTGGTGAACATGACAAGGGTCAAACCAAACAAAAGCAAATTATAAAAACCCAGACAAACTGTTCTGTAAGCTTTGGGCTTTTACACGCAGCCTACAGAAAACTACTGCATCAGAGATGCTATGGATCTACAGCATAACATGTTTCAACTTGCACAGCTTGCACAGAATTCAAACAACATGCTTTGTTTAAAATCAAACTGCATGTTCTGAACACAGTTTGACTACAGGCTACCCAAAAGAGGAAGAAAAGTCATAATCCATACAAAGGCCACAAAGTGCATAAGGAGTCATTCATAAAATAAAGCCATTGCACACAATGCACAGTTTAAGTGTACTGAAGTACCACACTGGAAGAGTTGGTAGCACAGTTCTGTCCACACGAGTATAGCAGCATTTATATGTAGAAAGCTATTGCCCCCAATTTGTAATGATAACCCTTCCTCATAAGGATCATGGATGCAGACTGAGAAGTACTCAAGGTGCAGATAAAAGGTATCTGCTTGGAAAGCTGTACAAGTTCTGGTAACTTTATGCTTCCGATTTTGACATTCCAGCTGTATGGTTTTGGAGAAGCCTGTAAATTATGAGGACAAACTAGCTAAGCCTCACTGCTGAATGTGACATTGTTCTGCAACTGTCTCAGAGCAAAACCAATGCCTTTGTATTCAGACAATTTGGAGGACAAGGTTATGCTGCTGTTCAGTATATAGGCTCAAGTTGGAAGAAGTGATATAGCAATTATCAATGGGAAATGCTTACAAGAGTCTTAATTACCATTTTCTCCATCACTCTGCACAGAGGCTACACTGAAAAAGATCTATCCCACTTTCAACTGTTTTCTGCTTTCTGGTCACCTTAGCCATAGTGATATGTGTTCTGCCCCTGTACTCCCATATAAATACTGGTAATCCAAGTCAGGATTTGCCAGACATATTAGGGTAACACCACTTGTTCTGAAGTAGCATGAAACTACCTGGGTGAATCCCATCTTCACAAATGGTGGGCTAGACTAGTTGAGATACCTCATCACATTACAAATCCTTAGAAAGGCTCTGAAGCAGCATTCAGCAAGTTCCTCCTTAGCTGTGCGAGTGACCTGACAGGTTGGCAAGGAAAACTGATGACATGGGAAAACACTTCATAGATCTCTCATTTAAGGAAGGCAAGTTCCAGAAGAGAAAAGATGATGCAGCAGAACTAGCAACCTACATACACCGATATCAACAGCTTGATAACCTGACAAGTTCAACAATAGAACCCTCTCTCAGTAACTTACAACACTGCTCAAACTCAAAACACACCAAAACCCCTGAAAAACAAAACTCAAAACCAAACAAAAAGCCCCAAAACCCCAAACAAACCACTGAGTATCACTTTTAATAGTGAAGAAATCACTTTGTTCTGTGTGCCTGCACCATATTTTGTATAGAGATAGCAACATAGAAAACTTCACACACTGACTACTACCTCTGTCTCTCTATGAATCCAACTGAATGGAAGTTTCAGGTATGGAAAGGTATGAAAGCACTGTCTTCCTCATTCTTCCCACAGGTTACTGTGCAGTAAAACAGAACAAAAAAGGACACAGTTGAGAGCAATCACTAAGGGAAGTGAATAAGGCTGCCCAGTAACATATTATACACCCCCTCCCTCACCCATCAGGTGTCTGAAGATGACTTAACAGCCTTGCCTGGATTAACAGGTGAAAAGAAAGTAACAATTTTGAATTAGAAGATGTATAAAGGTATTCCCTAAGGGGCAGCTCCCATTTGTCACATTGTCAAGAGACCACACAATAAGGCAGCAAAATTATCCAGAGTTGCCCACAACCAGCCTTCTGTTTTGTCCATAGCCGCATGTCCCTGACACATCTTTCCTTTGCCCACCGCACCGGCATTGACATTCAGTGGTCCACTCCAGTCTCTCCATCTTCCACCTTCTTCTAGGAAGCCTTGTCACATTGCTATCCATCGAGCAAGTAGACTACCACTTCATAGGTTGACATCATGATAGCCGTGTTTGGAATCTGTCTGACCAGATGTGTAGTTAAACCTCTGTAGAGGGAGCCATACCCTTCTTCTCGCACAAGCAAAGATAGTGTCTGGAAGAAAGATCTGTATTTTGTTCCCTCTTCTCTTAGTCTTGTTCGTACAACCTCTGCACAAAGAAAACCACATGTGGTTACACTCACCACTGTTCATTATCTTTTCCCAAAACCAATTAGTGATTTTTACATTAAAATCCCCTTCCTTGAGTTCCATCTCAGAAGGACTCTTTAAAAAAGGAGGAGGAACACAGAGAAGCAAACCTAGTATGTCTAAGAGGAAAACAAGTTAAATTTCTGGCAGTATTATCTAGCTAAGCAAGGAAAACTCATTTGCTTGGTTAAAATCCAGAAGAGGACTGTTGTTTGGGCTTTGCAGGAAAATTAAGTGCAACTGAAAACTCCACAAGACAGCCTGTTTTCCTAGAAGGGGGACAAAAACTTGCTTGCAAATTTGGTGAGATTGCCGAGTATACAGAGAGATTCCAAGTGCAAAAGGACCTTTTCCTTAAGCACTTTAGGACATACCCTAGCAAATCCTTTGGGAAAAATAAACACTGCCTAAGAAGAGTCCATGCTAGATATGCACTTAAAAATATTTCTATTTCCACATACTATACTCATGCTGACTCTCTGAATCTGATCTAAGAAGCTCTAGACTAAGAAATAGCTCTGTCCAAGTGAGCCAGAGCGCGCTACAGATATCACTGAAACGACTCCCTTTGACCCACTTGTTTCAGCTGTACATGCCCCACTTACCATGAGGATATGCTATTGATGTTGCACATGTTTTGGAAGTGGCAGCAGCCATCATCATACCCACAAAGTCCGAAGCCTCTTTTGCTGACTCATCCTCATTGTCCATGGCAGAGGCAGTCTTATACTCTAGTAGTTTTCTCTTAATACTCTCATAAATAACAAAATGAATAACAGTCTCAGATATGCCTGCGTAGGACGCTGACATTCCTCTGTAAAAGCCTTTAATACCATCTGAGCGATAAACTTTTTGGACACATTCAAAAGCACTCATTCGCTTTTCTCCACGATTCCTAAAAGGGAAAGAACAAGAGAGACATCAAACTGCTGCAACTGGAGAAAGGAAAACAAGCAGTTTTGCTAGTGAGAAGAGCATTTAGGAAATACCTCACACTGATGCTGAGGGGCTCCAATTCAGATACATTTAAGAACACATAGAATTTGAAGTGAAAGTCTCAGGAATCTTTAGCACTAAACACAGGTGAAGTATTGTATTGAATCCAAGCCAAACTTCATATGGTGACTAAATGTCACATAGACAAGCTGAACAGCTCTCAGCCTCCACAAGCCTTATAGAATAAAGGACTAAATTGCTTGGAAAAAAAGACTCCAAAAGAGACTGACACTGTCAGCGACTCATGGGAAAAATGACCATATTAATCTGCATAACGAGAGTGGATTTCCCCTAAATTTTGCCTCAAAAAAGCAGCTCCATAGCATGGCAATTACGGTGGCTCAGAGTTCAAACAGCAGGCCTCATAGCATCACTTCTATCAGCAAATAACAATCATATCCAAAGCAAGCATACCAACCAATACAACCCAGGTAACTATTATTTTATTCAACTAAGCCACGGCTGATGTCAAGGAAAATGCTCATTAAAAACATGACTGTATCAAACAATATTTGGTAAATAAAGTCTTATTCCCATATTTGGCTTGCTTAGTGAATTGAGTTTTATCTACTAGAATACTCAGCATACTACACACCTATGCAAAACCCTTACAAGACTGCCCAAAATATGGTTCATTGCAGCAGTGAGTGTCAGCACCAGCAGAGGTGAGCCACAGAATAAACCAGCAAATAAACTTTCTAAGAAGTAGCTCACACAGATACTGGCAAAACCAGAGACAGCAGCTATTGTGTAAGCAGCATGAGCCACCACTCGACAGCAGAATTTAAGTCCCAATGGTTTGAACCTGCAGTGTCAGACAGCAATGAAAGGTACCAAGCACAGTTAAGAGAAAGAGTGGGCACACAGAGCTGTAGATGAGATCTTGTATAAGCTGAGTGGCAGACAAGAGACTTCAAAGAAAAACAGGTAAGAAGAGAAGCTGTACCTAAGTCTACAGCCCCAGGCGCACCCCTGTGTCCCTGTACTGACAGATTGCTGTAAGAGCTCATTCTTCTCATGTGCAAGATGCACAGTATTGTCTTGAAGGCCACAGCAATTTCAGTTTGTAAGCAAAAGACATGTCTTATAGAATCATTGAATAGTTTGGGTTGGAAAGGACCTTAAGATCATCTAGTTCCAACCCCCCTGCCATGAGCAGGGACACCACACACTAAGAACTTAAAGAGAAACAACACCAGGCCGGTGTAATCCCACAGGCCAAGTGTTTTTATGCCTCCAGTAACAACTGAATTAGAAGAGCTGAGAACAGAGTTTGTGCTCAACTAGCCCACATAATTGCAGTGTCCTACACGAAGTTAGAAGACCCTTTGTCAGGTCTCCCATATGAACAGCATGCTTGCTATAATGTACAGAAATAACATCCATAAGAAATCCATCATTCTCCCTAATTGCCTTAAAGCCCTATAGTTTAAGAAATTTAACTGATAAATCACTAAAAAACAAGCAGAGGCAAAAGATGCCATCAGGATGCACACAGCACCAAAATCCCCTTGTAGTTAGTCATATATTCATCAGCCCAAATCATATGGTGGCATCACAAAAAAGAAAAACCCACAGTAAAACTAGTTCTGGGATATATTTACTATGGTCAACTTGCAGCTGACATCATGGCTGCTAAGAGGAAAAATGCCAATATGCACTTACAATACAGGAAGTCCAGCAGATCTCCAAAATAGTAATATATAGCTAGATATATTTAGAATAGCTGAAGAAAGGATTTTATATTGCATGCTAAATTTTCACTACGAAAGTCTATAAAATGAACAAGACAGCTGCACTGAGACACTTGCATCATACCAGTGTCTCTCAATGGTTCTAAATAGATGGGAATAAATATAAAGGTCTTTCTCCCTCTCCCTATTCGCATACAATTCTACTTCATTCCAAGTTTCATTATAAAATAGTTTCTACAATCAATTCTGTAATAAGTCCAAAAACTTCTATTGTCTATCCCACATCAGAACAATTCCTGTATTTCAATCTATGAAAGCAGTCTTCCCCTTTTCATAGCCTAAAGCTTATTGCATTTAAGAAATGAAAACCAGGATGATTCAGGCATTTTTGTAAGCTTTGCTAAAACACTTAGAATCCTTATTTCAGGAGTGCTGAGCTGAACAGCTAAAAACAAAGCTAAAAACTGAAGGAAAACATAAGCAGAGACTGTTAACCTTGTAATCAATTCCAAATTTGCTGGCCAGTCTACTCTAGTGCCTCAAGCATGCCTCAGAAGGGAGATTACAGCAGAAAAATGACAACGTAACTTGTAGATAGATCAGCATCAACTTCTGGAATTCCAAGTGTTTGGTATTTAACAAATTACTCCATTTGGGGAATCTAAACAGATTCACAACAGTTAAGCGAAATCTTATCACAGCAGTTATATTTCCCATGTCACTATACCTTGCATCAAGCTGTAATCTTGTCTTCACTAGCCAAATGGGATTAGTTGTTGTGATCGCAGTAAAACCTAAAATATTTGAAAAGAGAAGTTAGATGTGATAGTATCACAGGAGCAACTGCATCTAAGTTCCAAACGCACACAGTAAAGTACAGTGGATGCAAAAACTCGGACTATACTGAGTTTTAGAAAGTACCCATTGTAGCCCTTTACTGATAGCTTATGAATCCATACAGCCAATAAACATTTATGTTATTTAATTTTACATTAATATTGAGTAAGTCTGATTCTCAGCAAGAGACACCCCATGTAAATTAAGCCCAATTGTGTACATTTCTCTGCCTATCTAATCATAACCAACCCTGTTCTGACACCAGAGAACAGCAAAGCTAGCTAGACTAATACTAGCCAATTTGGCAAACATGTCAATAAAAATGCATTGCAGATACAGCTTTAGCAATTTGAGATAGTATAAAGCATTGTGTCAATTTAATCTGCTACCTGAAATACAATCCGAGTTTAAAAGCATGCAGACTGAATAACTACTACTTTTGGTGCAGTTAAAAGGCATGTATTACTATAACTTAAGAGACCTTTTAAGACTGAATGATATAGAGCAGTTAAATGTGAGTGCTAATGTTTTATTTAGTATTCAAAGCAGAGATTGTTGGTTGGCCTAGGAATACTTTTACAAGCGTATGAGTGTTTAGATTGTTAAAGTAACTAGTATGACTTCTAACTATCCAGACAGACAGCAACTATTCAGGCTTGCATAAGGGCTAAAGCTTTGAGTTTCAGTCCATTAAAGAAAAAGAAAAGGAAGAAAAAGAGAAACGGAAACAAATTAAAAACAAAAAGAAGAGAGAAGTAAGAATCACTCTTACTTCTGCAGAACTGTGAAGAGAAAAAGAGCAGAGTGAAAGGCAGCTCTGAAAAAACAAAAGTAAAACAAAAAAAACCATCTAGAATTGTAATACCGTACATGCACCAGTCATGAGGTGTCATGTCTGCAGGAGAGAAGAGGAAAAGGGAAGAGCTGGAACATGGCCAGGCAAGAGATGATAAATTTAGACACTTGTTTTCTAGGGTGACACACATCACTTGCAGATCACTACAAAGACATGCTGCCCTCCTGCAAGGGAATGGACTGAGGTTGGGGGAAAGCGACAGAGTTACCATGTTCAGTGCATATCTGGTGCACAATACTTATACAACAAACAGGCTATTGATAGGCTTGTTTATGGAGATAATTAATAGCTTACATATATATATATATATATATACAGCAGAACTGCTTGCATACAAGTTACTTCTGTTCAATCACAATCTAGGTTTACATTGCACACAAATGACTGCAATACTCAGAAATGCCAGGGGATCTTAACTGTTTTAAGGTTTGTTCTATCCCACCCCAAGTCTTAAATAGGTCATTATGATTTCCAGTTAGAGTTCTAAAGATGAACTACCAGATTTAGCAGCTACTAAGATTTAGTTGTATTATGCCGAAACAGCAAAAACACATTAGAGATTTCAGTTTAATCTTTTGATTAAACTGATTTAACTGACTGTAAGCTCTTAACTAAATAACTTTCTGTGGTCGATAAAGGTTTGGGGTTGGTTTGGGAGGTTTTTTTTAATACACTAATATGTCTAGGTACATATGGAGCCCTTCACATAACAGAGTAAAAGTGTTTTGTATCTGCATTTCATGTAGGTAAATAATTATATAAAACCTTGAAGCATCAGGGAACTACTCTGCCATCAGAGGGCATGGGATGCTTTTAAAGCATACTAAGTCTACAACAAAGGTTCCGTAGTTAAACTAGTCAGAGCCTTAATGCCACAGAAACTCCACTGCTTCCAACTGCACTTGACCCTAGGGTAAATTAAACTGAAAGGAAACATTGGGTTTGCATTTTTTATTATTTTTATACTAGCACTAAGAAAGATTTCTTTTTCTTTTACTTCCGATGAGAATCTTTCCATACCTGTAGTGGAGTTAATGGCACTAGAAATGCAGAGGACTTCACCTAAGGCTTTGAATAAGGTGGGAATCCATTACTACCTTCTCCTACCAACACATTTTCCAGGAAAGTATTGCCTCTAAAAAAATCCAAAATTAGTTCTTAACTCTCTCCTAATTCTTAATTATAAATGAACAAAACCAAAAAGTCTTTTGCATCCCTATTTAAGTTGCATGCTTTGGAATTTTGTTACTGCTAGTCTGTACATTACAGCACTACCTGCTCAGCCCTTCCTATTTAACACAAGAAAGCGTTCTCTGTAGATCCTAAGACTGGAACAGGGAATGCACAGGTGAGATCAGACGCAGCGTTTGTGTGGCAGCAGTGACTGCATTCACGCACAGCACCAGCCTGATACTTCTAGACAGGCTAGAAGAGTATATTGGGAATTGCCAGTGAGGGGTGGCTGGCACTGGGGACAGCCTATTCTGCATTGCTCTAAATATGATTTAAGCATAGCACCCCTAAGTTAGCAACATAGCCATTTTTTTTTCCCTAGGGCTATCATAAGCCTAAATTGACAGTTCAAACCAAAGCTTTCAAATCAAAGAACCTTCAGTAATTCAGGTTTCAAAATGAAAAAACTACAGCTCAGTTCTTACAGGTAATGTAGTAAATAAAGTTAGTGGAAGAAGAAAAATAAATTCAGAGTCGAGTGATGCTGACACCAAGGAAAGCTCTCCAAAACATGAAAGATCCTATGTGGGATCTTTGGTAAGATAAGCTTTTCTTTTTAAATACAGTAAATCTGTAGTAGAAGTATTTGTTAAAAAATAAGGGGGGCGCTTTCAACAACTGCTATGAAGCTCTATCAATTGCTTCCTTTCCCTTCTTAGAAGTCTGAGTGAACTCTATAAGGCTTTACAATGCTTATCAATGTGTTGTATCCTCAAGAAAGAGCTCATTAGAAGTGCAGATCAATTTGGTAATACCAAATAATCCTCTATACTTTGTGTTTTATTTTCCTCTATAAAATTGTATCCCAGTTTCAGATGGAAAGAATTATCTCAATCTACTTTTACAGCTATACCAGCTACTGACAGGTAAGATCCCAGGTATTCCTATTATGCACAATATTTCAAAGGTTAGGGTTGTTCTTTCTTTTCATCTATAAGCCAATGTAATACAAACACATGTGAATATGGAATGTTTAATAAAAATCCAAAGTAGTAAAATAAAAACAAACCAAAGAGAGCACAGAGAGAGACAGAAAGGAGATTGTGTACATATTAAAAAAGAAAAAGAAAAGAGATCTTTGAAATAATGTGACAACACAGAGTATCAGCTGCAGCATTTTAAGGGCAGCTCTGGGACACTAAAGAAAAAAAAAAAACACAAAATGCCTTTTTTAACCCAGTAGGGACTTTCAATTAGTCAGAGCCAAGTCAAGTAGCAGCTATCAGTGAAAGGTATTTTCCACCTTCCCCTGAACTGCACAGAAAAACCCAACTCTGAACAGAGTTAAGGAGGAGTGATGTCTTTGCACAATGCACATCATCTGAGTTCAAGATAATGAAAGTGAATTCCCCTTATTGTGTTTATTCAATAGATATGACAAACCCAATGTGTGGTTCTTACACTAGAGGCTGCAAGAGACGCTCAGTTCAGTACTCACGAGGTTTAAGTTAGTCCATATTTCTGCAGGAAGTGACCTGCGGATGGGGAGCATGAGATGACACGATCTCACTCTTTTCACGGGAGAAATGTACAGTAAATGCCTAAAATAGACACAGGCTTTTCTGTATCATAACAACAAGCAGTGACCTCATCAGACACATGTGTACAAATTGAATCCCATCGGAAGGATTTGTGAATTAGTTATTGTGAGATCTAACTGTTTTCAGGTAAAAGTTTAGGAAAAAAAAAAAAAAGAAAGAAAAATAATCAAACAGGCCACAGATATTAAAATAAGTTATGTCAAAGGCACTGAGTACTGAAATTTCTGCTCATTTGCAGCAGTTCCATTTTATATCTCCAAATACTTACCTATGTAACAAATTTACACATGAACCCTCTTCCTCTCCCACTCCCTCCCAAATATAATTCAAAAAAGCTAGTCTTGTCTTGGGACTGAAAAAGCAAGATAGATGCCTTATGAAATCAAGCTTTCTAATATCAGTAATCAATGAATACACATTTTATTTGGTATTTATTTGGTATTAAACTGTATTGGTATTAATTTAGTATTAACTGTATTTGGTATTATACTACTAAAAAGTTACAAGAGTAAGTAAGTAATAAATGGTCCCATTTTTTTTAAATACATAAAAATAAAGCCCCTTACATTCAGGTTGGTTTGCCAGTAGAGTTCTAGAAAGAACAGTAATAGCATACAAGGCAAAGCAGTTTTGCAGCAGATTTGCACCCATGTTGTCTGAATGAGGCTATGAATCATTAAAAGGCAAACAAGAAAGCCATACGGGAATCAAGTATCTCACTCAGTTCCCCACAGATTTTATTCTGTGTGGCAAAAGAGGTTGAGAAAGTTCAATGAAAAGACAGAGTTCATAGTGAAACTAAGAATTTAGCCTAACTTTGAAGTGTACTGAGATTAAACTATCCTCACATAAGGAAACACTCTCAATTCTTGTAGTATACTTCAGATATATTCACTGTTCAAGTTAACAAAGAGAGAACCATGTGATATGCCGAGCAGTAAGCAAAAAAGATTGCTTTGTTTCAATACACAGGTATTTTAGGTATGAAGGTGATATGAATTATATCCTAGAAGCCAGCACACAGCAAGAGAAAAACATTTCTAATTGCATAAGGCATCAGTTACTAATATGCAGCATAATTCATCATCCATGGGATAAAACAAACTTATTAAAAACATCTTAGTAAAACCAACGTTTTATCTTGAGAAGGAAAAATCATGCCTAAACCCAGACAAAAATGGTTAAATACCCATACCTCAGCTTCTCACTCCCAGAATTACCATATGCATAAAGCAACCCTTATTTACCAAGGACACAGTCCAGCCTGAAATACTTATGGATTAACATACGATACAAAGAAACAGTATTTAAAGTTGACTAAAGTTCACTACTTAGAGTAGTTACTGTTTCATGAAAGTTGAAGATTTCGATTGTATTTGTGCATCATCATTGTAATCTGTTACCTACAGGAGAAGCTTTTTAAGTGCAAACCCCACCTGATGCTCAACAGGTATTAGAAGCCCGTATGTAACAGAAAGGTCATATCCAAACCAAAACAACCCACCACCCTTATTTAAGACTGAGTTATTCAACTCCTTACTGAAACCAATGGCAGCTGCAAAAGAAAAAAAACCAATACTGATTACATTTTGCTCATTATTTGAATTGTTTATCCACTTTGCCACTTTTGAAATCTGAAGTTCCAAAGCAAATATTATGGTGATCTTCTGTCTTAACCTGTTTAAGTCAACCAATGCAGAGTCACATACAACCTTGTCCCTGTTACTTTGCCACCACCTTAAGCTGATTTGCATCATATAAAAATACAAACCTTGCAGGTATAACTGTTAAAAGCTGGTTTAAGTGCATTTTCTGAAATATATTAGAATTACAAAAACAAGGTTAGCATGTTCCCATGAAAGCACTGTTAATTTTAACTACAGTCACTTCTCACATAGATCAGAATACCTCCAATACTGAGTATTAAGAAATTATTTGTCAAAGAACCTTCTTTTAAAGGTCTTCCAGAGAATGTCTGTAGTATACAGTGCCAGGACATTGCAAAAGAGAAATCAAGTTGTGACCTGTTGTGTGTACCTGCACTTGGCATTCAGTTTCATTGGCTATGTGGTTTAAATATACAACTGCAGGACTAGGTAAGTGTGAGAAGGATAACAGCTACAAAAGTTATTCAATATTAAAACTTGTATCCATACATAAAAAAGGCAAACAGTAACTAAGGCTGAAATACATTTATCCCAGTCTCCTGCAGTCATAAGTACAAATGCATAATACCAACCTTTTGGAAGGGAAGCAAGTTAGCAAGCAGATACAGAACTCCTTGACAAACTACAATCTGCATCTGCAAGCACTTGGGAGAAGTCACTACAGCACATCTCCATACATGTTCTTTTCATTACAGAATGAGGGCAGTAGCTTCCAAAGATAAGGAATACTCTGAACATTCGTTTGTCTGCAGCACTGCATGAGTTACTCCACAACTTGTCTCCAACTGAGGATAGACTTGTTTCTCTTACCCATACTTCCCCTCACCCCCCTGAATTTAAAGGCATGTTTTATCCCCTTGAAGAATTGAAGACAATTCAGTTTTGTTGGCGCAATTAACTGGTTAGGCTGAACTTTTCATGAAATCCCCTTCCATCCCATTCCCCATGTTGTTTACCTACAAACAAAACACATTTCCAGGTGATAAAAACACTGCATCATCTGAGCACTTCATTTTGCCCATTTAAGACAAAACTGCTCTCCTCATCTCCAAGACTAAAAACTGCCATCACATTTCTCATGTGCTAGAGATCAGCTTTATAATTAAATAACGCACTAACGCTCATGTCACTTAAATTTCCCATCTATACAACTTTTCAATGTGCCAGATTATTAGCAAGTATTAAATGGAAATGTAATCCTATTAATTATTCCGGCATCACCTTGGGCAGTCCATTCCAGATTGCTAATACTCACTGCTTGTAAAATTTGACAGGCATTAGAAACTTCAACAGGCTACCATAAAATTGTCAGAATTCACCTGTCAAGTGTCTACGGCCTATTCAGAAAAAACACACTTCTGAACATTTGTTTTTGGGTAGAAAAGACACAGGCAACAATAGGTAAAATGTTGCCTGTGTCTTTGCCCCAGCACAAGTCCATGACCATAGCTCAGCTCAGTTGCCTGTAACTTCCCATGTTATGGATCTCAAAGCACAGACCATACAAATCAAACAACAAATATTGGCAGCTGCTAAAACATATCAAAATTACACTGTGGATATAAATTAAAAATTTATTTCCAGAGATTAAAAATATATAAAAACTACAGAAATCTGCTCTTGTGTGTCACTTTAGCAGCACAGCAAACTTCACACAGACTGGTATTTGAACAAAGGCAGGGGGCAGAGAGTGTTACGTATCATTTATACAAATACCTGCTGGCATATTTCAGAAGGATAAAAATAAGTCAGATATACAAAGCTGTAACCAAGGGATGGTAAAAGAAACAGATCATGAAGCATTAAACTCCAGTTCACTGCAAACAATGTTTTCAACTTGCAGAGCAAAAAAGTCACTGTTTTGAAAGCTTTCATTTTACATGTCAGAAACTTACAATCGAAAAAGCAGGCATGCAAGCTTTCCTAGGCAAGACCATTCACACACACAGCTAAAGATCTGCATTAACACTAACTGCTAACTTTCATGCACATACTCTCTAAAGGCCAAAGAAGGTAACCACTACACAAAGAGAGCATTCCATCACTGGACATTTTCTGTTGTGTTTTTTCCACATTTATTGCCATCTCTGTTTTGTAGACATGGCTCTAGAATGAAGCTAAAAAGTTACAGATCCTTACCTGCCACACCAGCTGAAATCATGTGTACCTGGGTAGAATCTGGATTGAAAATACTGTTCAACTTTTCCTTGCAGTTTGAGTAGGCAGCAAAATATATTGCTCTGGAATTGGAACAAAATCAAAGTTATGTTCATTTTATGCATCTAATACCCTTACAAGCAGTGCCATTAGCTTCATTCACTAACTCCAGACGATCTTTGTCCAACTCTAACTTCCTCAGTAAAAAACAAGCCCTTGCAGAGTAGTGGGACTATTCTAGGAACGGGGGAAACCACCCCAACATCATACTTGACAACTTTTTCTTCCACAATAGCTCCAATTAACAATTAGTGAGGGGAAGGACAGATGATCAGAAACACAGCAGTGGTGGCTGTGGCACCAGCAAGTTTAGCCAGAGATGCAAAACACTGCTGAAGTGACAACTGAAGTTACAGTATTCTGTATTTCTGCAGTAACAGATAAAATTTGTTCTAATGCACCTAAACTCATTTCAATACCATTATAATTGTAAGAGAACTATCATGTAGCTATTTTTTTTACCAAAAAGCACACTTAAATATTTATAATATTATTCTAGCATGTAAGATGTAAATATGGATAAACTTGTGGTTATACGTCATAACTTAGTTTGTAAATATTTACATTTTTAATGCTCTCTAGTTCTGTACTTAGAATAGACAGATTTTTTCTCCAATTATACTACAAGAAAAATTTAAAACTTACTTTAAGCATGTCTAAAACTCATATTTAAGCTTGGTTTTTTAACTTAACCACCCTTCTGCAAGAGAAGAAATAAACATGCCGGTTTTCAGGAACAGAACATTAACCTCATTAGCTGTGCAAACATGTTTTTCTTCATTATAAAAAAAAAAAATAAGATGAAGTGCTTACTTCATAGGTGTCATTTCCAAAATTGAATCTGAACTCAGTTAAGCATACTGGATGTGTTATGAAACATGCTTTTCTATGGCTTATTTAAACAAAGAGCTGCTGCTAAATCCATTTAGCTAATGCTTAATTGAAATTAAGTACTGGATGAAGACTGAGTCAGCCAGAGGGGCATGAGGATGTGCTTATTTCTAAGACTTCACACAGTAAATCAAGTTGACATTTTTAGTATGGCATGGGGGGGATGGAATAGGACAGGATAGACAAGGTATTTCAGCTGGGGGAAGAAGGGAAGGGAAATAGAAGATTTAACATAAAACATACTGAAAATAGGTTTTTTGCAGTTGAGGATATTTTTCATTGAGGACAGTCACTTATAAAATTGAACCCATTGCTCTATGAAAATAGCTGTTTAAGTCATATCAAAGCTGAATATCCAGACCAGATTGGACTATCAAACAAGAGTATAGGCTCTTCAGATTAGGAAGTGCTGATACCCCACAGATGTCAGGAACAAAGAAAGCTACTGGAATTAATTCAGCTTCTCCAAACAGCAATGCTGAATTACTAAGAAGAAAATACCCTAGGTATTCCCAATTCCTTAAAAACTCTGCTAAAAGTACTCCAATTCCTAAACTATGTTTTCCTCTTATTCATGCAGCAGATCTACAGAACACCACCTCATCTGTCAGATTCAAGCAGAGGACAGATCAATGCTGAATGCTAAGTCCAGTTTCATAAAGTCTTCCAGAAGCATCTGAAGACCTTAAACCAGAAGAGTTAAGATACTCTCTAACTGGGTGTGCAGAAGACCGGAATGTCTTCTCTTTAGACAAAAAAAGCGGGGCACTAAGTCAACGTAAGAACAAAGCCTTGCGTGATTGCTTAAGCATTTCCCTCCTTAACTGGACAAAATTCTGCATAAGGGATAGTATACAACAGTAAGTATTATACTAGCACGTAGGAGAGTAAATGCTGAGACACTTGGAGCACGGATGCGGGACCAGAGCTGCAGAACACATGAATGGCTCCATCTCTCAGACAAAATTACCCAAGCAACCAAAGGTTATTTCTCTTCAGTATTTACAACGGCAGATGCAAAACTTTCTTCAAATAAGCCTTAAATGCTTTAGTGTACACAACCTAAATTTCATCAAAGTTATGTTATTTACTCTATACATTTGTATTTACCTGGAAGGAGCAACACCTACTAGATTAGGACCCAGCCCTCTGAACAGGGAGCGAGGACCTTCCTTTTGCAAGATCATCCTAGAAAACAAAACAGTGATAATACCATAACATTCACATCCAAGTTAAGGAATGCACTGACCACCAGAACTACAGCATTTGAGCATTACTCTGTGTCAACATTTCACAATAGCTTACGAGGCAGTGCTGGCCACAAAAATTAGTCATTTCCTACAACTGGCATAAAATAAAATTCCAGTATTGCTTGACACGCCATAGAAATCCAGGAACTACATGCAGAAGTAAAGCCTTATGTCAATACCTCAAAAAAACAGAAACACAAGCATACATGGATAGCTTATCTGTTACTAGGAAGTTAAAGAAAGAGTCCTTTTATCAGGGAAAAATAGTAAGCATGGCAATGTTCACATTCCTGTAGGTTGTAGATTGCTCAGGGAAACAAAGATATTTCATTCTAGTCTACATTCCTTGCATCACCTCTTAGCTCCCAACACTTGTGAACATTTTTGAGTGAGAGGGACAGTAGGTGAAGAGCAAGAGAGAAGAGAAGAACAACTTAAGAAGGTTAACTTACAGCAAGTAATACACCTTCTGAGGGCAGCTCAGGAAGATGTTAGCTCTATGCTTACCATGCAAAAGGAGTACCTTTCCCATGTAACTGTAGTTTTTAGAGTTGAAAACCACTATACAGCTAGGTACACTGGCACAGTAAGAGAAGATCCATTAATACTCAGTTTTAGTGAAACCAATCTGTTCAACCATCTAGATGCTAATCAGATAGGGTATTTTAGGAAACATGGCAGAACACTGGAGGAGAAACAAAGACTATCTGCATCCCATTACTGCAAATTGCTATAGAACCAGATTTAAAGTTAAGAATTAACTACTTCAGTAGATGTTGCAAAACAGAACTCTGTGCTTACTGATTTAGAAACACTGGCCAACACACATAAACAGTTGTCCTGTATATTTCTTCTTCAAAAAGACATGCCAGTTAATGGCAAGTCAATTACTCAATAAAGCAGACTACCCTTGTATAAATGGCTATTTTGTTTGGAATTTACTATCAGAACAAACAGGTGAAAGCCATCTATAGCACTGGAGGAGATTCCAAACTTATTCCAATTTCCAACAGGGGGATCACCACAGTTCTACTGCTAGATTAAACTGAACATTTATTTTTGCTTACTGAAAACAAATGTAAAGTGGTGGTTCTGCACAGTTACCATCACTACTTAGGAATGCTGGCATGTAACATGTCCAGCAACATCTTAGCTTCGGGTCCATAACAATTAGGCATGGACATACTAATTATTGGTGGCACTGTTCTGGAATAACTGGAATATTGAATGCATCCTCAAAAGCACTTTGGAATGCCAAAAGGCTTTGACATGCCCACATCCTGAAAGCATTTATAACACTTACAGAAGGAACTCTTAGAAGAAATCTTACCATATCCCAGAGATCAGCATGGGCACAGCTTCAGATTACAGCAAACTCCACTTAAACACACTACTTGAAAATCATTACCGCCATGTGTTACACTTACATATATATGCACATATAACACATGCATGTATACAAAGCAGCAGGAACCTCAGTGTCTTACAAGAAACTTAGGAGTCAAGCATATCACTATTTGTTCCTTTTGGACCTACAGTGTCCCAAGACTTGCCAGAGCAACAAAATGTTAAAGAAAGGTTGCAGCAGGCGGGATTTATAGTGGTGGTAGTTACTGACACTCTTCTGCATTCACAGACACCAACTGGAGGAGTTCCAGAGCCTACACTGAAAGTAAGACACAAACTTCCTACATTAATGAGCAGATCCCAGAGCCTGCACTGTTTATTGAAAGCAGTAAATGGGAAACCCATGGTTGGAAGAGCAGCACAAATGCTCTGTAAGACCTCAGCTGACCTGCTTGTGTCACATGGGGAAGCCTGCTTTGGGAGGCCGGTCAGATTGCCATTATCAAGATCTCAGGTTTATGCTCAGCAAGGTTAGTTAATAACGCATCCGCAATATGATATCCACCACAGATATTTAATAAGGGAATTCGCTTTTGTTGCCAGAGAATGCAGTCACCTATACCAGTTTTGAGTTTCTTTCCTGACAGAGATGCCTTCGAAGTCACCTCTGTTGAGGCTGAAGATGCAGAAACAATTCCACAGTCTTCAGTTACCTCAAATTTGACATTATTTGCCTGATCCACCCTGCTTTTAGACTGAGTATGGTAAGCCCTGAAGCGCTGCCCTGAATTTGGCATGAGAAGAGACAACCAAACCCTGACACCTATGAGTCAGAAAATATTAAGTGACAGTAAAGGCACGAGACTGACAAATGGATCCAGTTTGATTTCCCCACTAACCAGCCCTAATCCCTTAACCAAGAATAATTATGTCCTGCACCTACACTATTTTTTCCCCCGCAGACCATTGCCATGTCTTTTGGGATTATTATATATTTACTCTATTTAAAGAGCCTGAAGCCCAGATAAGTTACTTGGCATCTCAGTTGTTTGATACTGACATGGAACACACATCTAAGCAAAGAACAAAAGCAGCAGAAGATACACTTTCCAGTATCACAGACAAACATGTTTAAAAAGCAGATTTAAAACAACCAGAAAACCAAACAACAAACAAACAAGCCCTACTAATGGAATTCATCACGGACTACCCCTATCCCCGGTCCAAATTTGCTCTCTACAAAGTGCTCACTGATTAACTGGGGACAGAAGATAGCTGATCTATCAAATTCTTTCTAATACAAGAAGTAGCAGGTCCTTTCTGAAGGAAAACTCCCCTCAAATACTGAAGGTACCTTCCCATAACTGGCTAGTTTGAGTTCCCCAGAGTGAAGTGAACCCTGCCTGTGGTCTGTACAAGGAGTTTAACTATGGCCATACAACTTCCCTGCTGACTACTGAACATCAGAAGCACTGGTAGCAGTGACAGGAAAGGCAGTCCCCATTTGGTGAGGTGCTGTGTGAACAAAGCATTCCAGATCATGGCAAAATCTGGCCCCTCTAATACTAGCCACACATCCACCAGAAGGTACTGAAAGGCAGGAAAAGTACGGAGTGGTGAAAGTTGAGAGAGACTAAGAAGCTGAGTTACTTCTCATCGGACTTCATGCCCCCATACTTTGCAACATCTACGATTTGGACACAAAACAGTTTAAGAAGTCTTAATACTAACACTTTTTCAGGATGAAAATAGAGCCTGGCACTTAAGCATTACAGTGTTGCCACTAAGTTCTGAGGACACAGTTTAGAGCTGTGGATTGTACAGGGTATACATGTGCTGACTAATTCCAAGTACAAACTCAAGCATGAAGGACATTCGCAGGACTGGAATGTGAAACTTTATTACAGTTAAAAAACAAAGAAAGGAAAGTCATCTCACAGCAGCATCATGACAGACATCTCTTCCATAGAGATTTGTCCAACACACCTCCTTCCTCCTCCCTCCCCAATGTAACCAAAACTAGTAACATGTACACTCACTTCAAACAATGGAGAGGCCCAGGAGAAACTCTAGTTACTCGATTGACTGTAGCACCATTCACAGTGTTGAGATGGACTTCAGAGATGTAGAGAGTCACAGAGGAGGACTGCAATCGTGTTTTCACAACTTCCAGTGGACATGTCAGAATTGCACCAACAGTACCTCCACATCTGCAGAGGAAAGAGCATCATCACATTCTTAACTGCAAAGAAACTGAAGGATACATTCACATACAGTTAGCATTATACTCAGCAAAGTCAAATTGCAAGAAGTGAAGCAACAATGGAACATGCATGACAATGCTGCAGTTATTTGCCCTTGAAGACAAGTAAACTTAAGTCAGTTTGTTAACTCCACAACTTGGAGTGAAAATTTAAACAAAGTTTCCCAAAGTAGTGAAGGTGCACAGTCTTCAGTACATGCTGTTCAAACCAGTTCTGGAAAGCAGCTCAGCATCTGAAATGTTTAACTCCTTATGGTAAATTTTAACTTCTTTTTGAATGTTTAGTATGCTCCTGACCACAAATAAGGTGCCAAAAATCCTTAAGGGTAGGAAAAAAAAATAATCAATATACACACTATGCATATAGGGCTACATGTAAAACCTGGTAAAAACTGTGGCAATTTAACAGAATTAAGACACTTATGAAAACATCTTTGAAACTCCTTTTGTACTGTGGGCATTGTACCATAAAAGCAATGTTTCTGAGTGTTTCCCGAGTTCTGCCCATTACAGCAAGACAGACTAGATACTGTAGAGTGGAACCTAGGAAGACAGAAGACCTTTAGTGGCTGACCAGGTCAAGACTTGCAGGTCTAGCTTCAGTCCACCACTGGTTTCTGTGAGCAAGCCAAGGCAAACCATGCATGACTTGTGCTGACACTGGAGCTGCTGCCATTGTGCTGGAGTAGAACACAGCCAGGAACCTGCTGCTCTTTAGCAGCTCTGCTCAGAGGATTCTTCTAGTGCTTGTTCATAACTGATTTATTAATATCTACATTCCTATCTGCTTAACTACATCACATACAGCCTGAGGAGAAAATACCAAATCTACACATTCTGTTTCCAAATGACAACCCCAAATCCCTTGGCATCACCATTACAAAAAAACCAACCAAACAAAAAAGGCTTCCCTTGAATCTTTAAATGTATTCTTAACTTTACCAAATACCTTCTTAAAACTATGACCAGGAAACTACAAGCACCCTTTAAAACAAACAAACAAAACCCACAACCAAAAATAAACAAAAAAGAGGCCCAAACCCAGATTTACATTCAGGTACTAATTAATGCTACTAACAGCTCAGTCTGAAATCCACTAATGCACAAATACAGATTGTACTAGATTCAAAGGGCCCAACAGTCACTTCTCTGAAGCAGTAACAAGAGCTGGTGTTTGATTCTGACATGATAGTTATCAGCTTTTTTGCTGTAATATGAAAGGCTCAACCTGCACACACTGCATCCTAAAAACTCTGTATGAACTGAACTGACCATACCAAACAGCTGCAATGTAGGATAGTGTCTGATGTTCACTTAATGCTCCATTTAAACCCAGTGACCTAGAGGTATCCTATTACTAAGCCTAAAGGCATCTTGTCCCACCCTTAACTCCAACATTAGACTGAAATATACTGTCTTCCAAGTTTTAATCAATGAAACAAATTAAGTTTGTCAGTCTGGAAAAAGGTGTTTTCACAGGAAGATGGAAGACAGTCTTCCAGTGTGTGCTACTGACACAGCTTTTAGAGTAGCATGTTTAAACATCTCTGAATGAGCAATTTGTTTTTACTCTCCTAATGCTCAGCTACGAATAGACTTTTTAAAATAAGAGTAGCAGGAAGAGACCAGCTACAAGTGCTAATACTTATTTTAGCAAGCATTGGAAGCAGTTGGCACCTGTAACATGTTGTGGCTCATGACAGGAACGCTACCACAAGAAGCACAGGTAGGCCAACCCTCAAAAAAGCTTGAGATGGAGCTTTAGAGCTTGAGCATCTTCAAGATAGACACCAAGATCCTGCATCTCCTGCAGTTCAAAGCAGACACTGCTGTATGGTAACATGCCTGGGCAGCCCAGGTAGAAAGCTGGCTTTAGAGTTCATTTCCTTCCTTGCAACCCTCTGTTTCTGGTCATTGAGTCTACTCTAAGACCTCTCTACGTTTGATTTTGGACAGGTTACATGATGACTTGTTTTCAATCACACATCCACCAGGAGGATGGCAAGAGAAAGCACCTGGTATGGTTTATATGAATAAGACAAATACTATAGAAGGGAGAAGAAAGGAGGAGGAAAAAAAAAAACCCTTGGCCTACATTCTTCAACACGGCTTGGAATTTGGAGCCTTTAGTGCTACTGGCTCCACAGCTACATTGCACTGGAAAAATTTTCCAGAGTTGAAGATTAACATTGACCTGGAGCTTGTATCCTGCATGTTCCCCCGCATCACACCCGAGTCACCACAAGGGATGCCCGACTGTAACAGCATTGTCAGACACCCACTGCGGATGGGTTAAACACTGCATTCAGCTCCAGTACTGGGGAAGAGAGCAGACACAGCCACTCAGTGCTTGTCTTTTACACATCTGCCTACAGCAAGTGTTGTTCAGTGATAACCAGCCGATGTAGCAGCTGCCAGCACTATTTTTACATGCATCAGAAGGAAGCAGCAGATCACCTGCCTTCCTCTGGGACCTGTGCACCCTTTCCCTGCACCACAATCCACCAGTCACATCATGTCTAGTAATCAGCACTCTTGGTAGTTTTACTTTTGTGTTGTTGTGTGGTTTGTTTGGCTGTTTTTCCTTTAAGCAGTTTAAGATGTCTCAGCTGAACCTGAGAATACTTTGAATGTTTTCCAATATTGATAGATTGGATTAAAATTCTCCCCTATCTTCAAGCTCTTAAATTGCTACTTGACAATTAAGTAGAGAAGTTTTATATGGTCCTATGTGGTTCTGAGATGCTCTCTGCAAAAATCCCTATTTCTGTCAAAATATAATACCTCATTCTCCCAGCCCTCAAAAAGCCCCATATAACAGAGAAAGCATAGAATCATTTAGGTTGGTAAACACCTTTAACACCACTGAGTCCAACTGTTAACACAGCACTGCCAAATCCACCACTAAACCATGTCCTTAAGTGCCACATCTAAATGTCTTTTAAATATGCCCAGGGGTGGTGACTCCACCACTTCCCAGGGCAGACTGTTCCAATGCTTGACAACCCTTTCCATGAATGAATTTATCCTAAGATCCAACCTAATCCTCCCCTGGTGCAACTTGAGGCCACTTCCTCTTGCCCTATTGCCCTTGGGAGAAGAGGCTGACACCCACCTGGCTCCATCCTCCTGTCAGGCAGTTGTAGAGAGCAACAAGGTCCCACCTGGGCCTTCTCTTCTCCAGACTAACCCACCTCCGGTCCCTCAGCCATTCCTCATCACACTTGTGCTCCAGGCCCTGCACCAGCTCCATTGCCCTTCTCTGGCCCCGCTCCAGCACCTCAATGTCTCTCTTGTAGTGCAGGGCCCAGAACTGAACACAGGATTCGAGGTGCAGCCTCACCAGAGTGAAACAAGTCTGAAAGTGTGGAGGAACCAGACCTTGCTCAGTAGTCAGAAGATCCACTGAGTTTGAGCTGAATCAGTGAATGAAAGCATAACCCAGGAGCTACACTGGTTTATCTAGTTCACTTGAACTTCAAAATAAACACTGCAAGGCCCTACAACAATTCGTTTATGAGAAACTGTCAGTAAACATAGCTTGTAGGAAAACAAAGAGGGAGCATTCAATAACTATGGACCCTGAACAAATAAGCAACTTCTAAGCAGCATGTCAGCAGCTCTGTCACCAGCATCAATGACAGTGTATTTTACTTAGAAATAGATTTCCGGCCTTGCTTATTTAAGAGACTACTAGAAATACTGAGAGAGAGATAAAGACACTGCTGCTACTTTGTGCTCTGAGTCCTGGCAGGCCATTAACAGCCAGCCATCAGCCCCAGCTTAGTGAAGTGTTCTACAGCTTGCCAGCAGAGTGCCACCACCATTCCTGCTATCCTCCTCACCAGCCCAAATTAAGGAGTTTATATTAAAACCCGTGATTTAACACAAATTAGGAAGTAGCACAGTTTGGAAAAACATCTCCTATGAATTATAAAACTCTTATATTTCTTCTCAATAACACAGGTGGGATTTTGTTTACTACCTAAACCATTCTGGGCCTCAGCATCTCCAGTCACATGCTACACCCCAGCAAACTGGGACTTGGGAGAGCACTTAGTAATGTGTAACTTCTTCTCCAGGATGAGGTTAGATTCACCTGGTAGAGCAAGGAGGTAAGAAATACACTCCTGCTGACAAGAATATAAATTGGAAGTGAAGAAGGACAAAACTTGAGACACTCCTGTGTTTGAATGCTTACAGCAGTTTCTAATAAATGCTGTTCAAAAGATAATTTTCTCATCTTAACTATCCTAAATTTGACATGTGGCTCTAGTCAATCTTTATTACAAGGCTTCTTCAGCTTTGCCAAGTGGATAAAACTTAAAAGGACAACTTTCATCAGAAATACCTGATCATGGAAGGGCACAAGAATCCACTTCTAAGTCCCAAGTACTTTGAAGGGCAGAAGAGCACAGATCAGTAGGTAAATCAACAAAAATAAACACACTGGTAAAAAAGGAAAATTAAAATCCCACTATTTATACAGTCAAGTTAGAGAATTCAATCTGCAGCTTAAACTGTATGAGAAGGCTCAAGAGACATTGCTGTCAGTGAAACAGATACAGAAACTTATCATCTGAATTGTCTAATCTGCAGGATTGCAAACAAGGTAACACTAAAACTAGGCAAAGATGCCTACTTGACACACCTCTGGAACAGAGGAATCCTAAGGCAAAAAAAAGCCACCACAAACCAAACAACAAACCCCAATCAAGCAAAACCACTAATTTGACCCCTGAAGTGCATTTAGAAGTCCATCACCCCACTGGCTTAACAAAAACAAACCTGGCACTATTTGGGCTTTAAACTCCACTAGCAATGCAACACAGATACAGTACTGACAACCATTTTTCCCCAGATAATCCTGTATTATTTGTGAGACACTGCAAGGAAAGAAACACATGCTTAAAAACCTAATCCTGTTCAGTATTCAAATCCCAGGTTCTATTTCCAAA